TACTAGGTGGGAGGGCATCGCTAGTAGGTGGGAGGGCATCGCTAGTAGGCGGGAGGGCCATTGCTAGTAGGTTGGAGGCCATCGCTAGTAGGTGGGAGGCCATCGCTCTTAGGTTTGAGGCCATGTCTAGTAGGTTGGAGGCCATCGCTACTAGCTTTAAAGACAAGAAATGCCCGGGACTCTTAAACGATTCACGGATCGTGCACAAAGATCAGCACTTCTATCACTTCACTTCTTGAGAATTCAACATGCACTGAAGTTTTTGAATCATTTCCTGTTTCTGATCACAAAGCTCACCCGCTCTTCAGGCCCGCTCCATCGAGAAAGGCGGTCTGTCGTTGATTTATCAAGGTGTTGACTGGGACGTTAGTAGAACGGTTTGACGTAGCATACTCATTCTGGCGATCTACATTTTATATATGGAGGTCCGAAAGAATATTCCGCAAAAAAAGATGGGACACGCAACATATATAGAGGATTTTTGTAGTCCATATGTCAAGTCTACAAATCTGTCCAGTTTTGCACAATGAACTTTTTGTTGGCTGGGCATCTTGATGATACGTAGTCTTTGCGCCAACCCTGGGTCATCTGGGGGGTTGGAGGGCATTTTGCTTGACACAGACCTGTGGGTGCTCCACATGAATGACTTGACTGCTGTTTCATTACTTTATGTCAATTATATCTTTAAAGCTCTTGGAACATTTTGCTATATATTTTAAGGTTTGTCAGACCCCCACCATACAAGACAGGGGCAACCATGTAAACAACCATTTTCTTCACACAGCAAGTGCATTTCCCTGCTTCTTCAGAGGAGAACTCTACAAAAACACTGCTTTAATCCAGTTTGAGGTTTGACTTGCTCTCTTGTGTTCAGGCCTGGAACGGCTGGAGACTCGTTTGCAGGGACATGAGCTTCGAGTGGCGCAGCAGCCGGAGGGCGCAGAAGCGGTGGAAGTTTCTACTTGCGTAGATGAGAGAACAGAAGATAAAGGCTTTGGAATAGCCCTCCCTGAGGTTTACCAGCAACTTCTCTTTCATGTCCTTCCAAAGGTTCCGTGGACATGTAGCCGCGTGGTGGAAAGTGTTGCCCAATCACTCAGTTTGGTTCCCAGACTTCTTTTTGGGACCTCTGAAAAAATCAAAACCAAGCGAGCCATTCTTGTCGAAACGGAAACAGTGTGGGCACTGAGATGCATTGAGTGTGATTCTGGGCCCTTCGAAGCAAAGGTCGGAGAAGATGGCGAAGATGGAAGCCAAAGAGGCTTTTGCCGAAGCAACCTGGCAGAGGGGGTGGCAGGGCTTCAAGGCCTTCCACACTGCACTTTCTTCTGGAAGGGATTGGGTGACTAGCAGAGTACGAAGAATGCTGGCAATCTCTCGGTCTGGTGGCCTGGTCATTCTCTTCCTTTGGGAGCAGTGAACCCCATTCCCTTTCGAGAAACGAAGCGAAGCACGCGCAGTCTCTGTAACCATTAGTCTTACCCGTCTGAGGAATCCAAGATGGGCCAGCTCCAAGCAGTCCTTGCTGTGGGAGAAGAGCATGGTGCTCGGGCACCCAAGCGAGCGCCCTATTTTCATGCCTTGGAGGCCATCGTGAAGTGCTCTTTTTTGTTGGATTGGCCCATTGCTCTATAGCGGTCTCATGTGGTCAGATTTTGTGGGACAATTTCGGGCTGCGTTGTGTGCAAAGAAGACAGATCCTGCAAATGCAAGATTCGTTGACATGCCAATCACGCCATTGAATTGCTGCACTTAGGAGCAGATTCGACAGCTGCAAGCAGCCCTGGACGCTGAGAGGCTGGTTCCCAATCTGGGTTTCTGAGTTGTTTCCTTTCTGGTTGAACCATTTTTCTTTCTCCAGCTTTTGGCTGAACGTGTGTGACTGGACTTGATTTGTTTGCAGGAGAAACCCATGGGAGTGATATAAATATTTTGTTTCCGCTTGCGATCAGCAAGCAGCAGAGGCCTAGGGCCTGGCTTAGGCTAAGATAGCTTCTCGTTGCCTTGGGTTCCACCGTGGCCGAAGGAAAGCTTCAATCCAACCTCGGGTGGAACTCGAACGAGCACTCAGTGAGGCCTGGACTGTGGTGCCTCCGAGCGTGTAGGACAGATGACGACAAGTACGTGGGGAGTCAGCAAGGCAAGGACGCTACTAGGAGCAAAGGGCATCGCTACTAGGAGCAAGGACGCTACTAGGGGCTCCTGGCCTTACTACTAGGCGCAGAGACGCTACTGCAAACCCTAAACATCAGAGCAAGCATCAGCTGTGGCAGAAAGATTCAAAGGTGAGGAACTCGACTCAGGCCGACTTGCCAAAAGGAGCCTGCATACAGTCCAGGTCCCCCTGTAGGAAGAGTGGCCTTGTACGTGACATACAGGAGAGGCTGGTGTATCCTCGCCATGGGCGATGCCGTTGAGGTAAAATACATGACACGAATGTCTAGAATGTCTAGAATCTCGAAGTGTGAGCAAGGCAACAGTCTCATTGGGCGTGTTTCCGGTGAAGAATGCCTTCCTCCCACATCCTGACGAGGGTGCAGACTTCATAGGGAACAACTCCTGCAAAATTCTCAAGAGTTGTTCCTATGGAAGCATTTTGGACCATCAGGTCCAGAAGTTCCTTGACGGCGAGGTGACAAAGGCCATCACCAATATCACCAGGTGGGCACTGACTGTCTCTGTTCGCTCCAAGGGATTCATCAACCGATACGCATACTATGTTGCTATTGCAAGTCATAGATAATTTGGTAATTGCACACGCAAGTTGTAAGAAGCAAAACAAAAGGGTCCCACATGATAATCCAGAATAGGAGCAAGGACGCTACTAGGAGCAAAGGGCATCGCTACTAGGAGCAAGGACGCTACTAGGGGCTCCTCGCCGTACTACTAGGCGCAGAGACGCTATTAGGTGCTCCTGGCATCGCTACTAGTAGCATTCTTACTACTAGGAGCAAGGACGCTACTAATTGGTGAATTCACTGCCCCACACGCAGGCTTTCTCGAGAATCTGAGTTGCAAGCCGCCAACCAGGCTGCAAAGCGAGCGCCAGACGGCACTGATAGCTTGGTCATTGATCTTGATTTGGAGGCCATTGCTATTAGGTTTGTAGTCTTTGGGCCTCCTCTCTCCTATGTAAAGCGAGCGCCAGCTGCCCTTTGGCCCCCATCCTGTGCCTTGCGCATGGTCGTTCTATTCCAGGCACAATTGCGCCATCGCCTGGATGATCTCTTCGGGAAGTCGTTGCCAATGATGCAGACGTGCCAAGAGGCGACGGCCGAAGTAGTATGGGCAGTGCCCAGGACGCCCCTCTGAGAACTGAGTACCCAAACCCAGAAACCTGCACTGTAGTATGGATATTCGACATCGTGAAAGATCCAAAGATCAACATGAGAAACTCAACTAAAGACAAAGGAACTACCAAGAAGACATCCAGAATCCAGAACAGAAGTAGTTCCACCTGGTAGAACGGAACAGAAGAATGATACCGCAACAGGAATTTTCAAGGGCCCCAGCGGCCCCAGAACGACATTTCAGAAGCCGCCATGCCTGTTGTCCAAAAATATGCAAAAATCTTGTGAAGTATGGAAGGCTAGGTGGCTTCAAAGAGTTTGGAGCTGAACTATCAAGTTGTGAGTGCCTTCGTGCAGGAGATTTTTGAGTCCAAAGTGGCTCTGAAAGCTTTGCAGGTCTTGGGCTCAGATCGGTTCCTCGGTTTGACGCAAGTGACTGAAAGGCTCTTCTAACCTACTCACGATGGCCTCCAACCTAGAAGCAATGCTCAACCTACTAGCGATGCCTGTTGTGCATATCACTGTGAACAATGATGTCAATGGCAACACTGTTGGCACTAAGGCGGAGGTGTCGAGTGTTAAGCAGAAAGAATTGAAGGATCGGCTGCGGGATGAAGCGCATGCCACATGCCGTATGTCACAGATTAAACGCCGGCCGTGGAAATGCGATTGTCTACCTATATAATATAGACTAGGAACAAAGGACATCGCTATTAGGAGCAAGGACGCTACTAGTAGCTCCTGGCCTGAC